TAGTTGATAAAGTCCACCTTAGAGTTTCTGACCAGATATTCACTCCCTGCACTTGGCTGGGGTAGCTGACTAATTTGTTCTGTCCTCCGTCTTCTAGTCTGGTACCAGGTGTCCTCTGCAGACTCCAATGTACTGTTATATCCTCCATGTGCACCTGGATGTGCTGTCCACTGCTCCGTCTAAGCCATTGAGGAGGCTCAGCTTTGACACATGCACTCCATGGTCAGACCATGGAACCTGCAATTCTCTCCATGGTTGGGGTTCTGTGTCCAGCAGTTCAGTTGAGGGGAATCCCCAAAGAAACGTCATCTGAGGTGATCCAGACCCGATTCTTGCATGTGCTTGCCAATACAGGGTCCGGCACAGTCTGTTGCCCCAGTCAGCTTATGTATATGCTGGTGGGGTAGCAATTGCTGTGTCAGTTCAGTCTCCAACCCTGTCTTCTACACAATCCAGTGGTTGTTGCAGCCCAGCCCACTCCTGCCCACCACACACTCAGCCCTCATGCAAATCAGTGGGAGCTGTAGCCTTGTCAAAGTGACCCACAATAACCCCCACCAGGCCAGTCCCCTGCACTGGTTGCCAGTATGTACAGCAGACTGGTCCAACCTGTCCCACATCCCATTCAGCTCTCATACATGTCATTGAGGCTTAAAGCCTAGTTCAACCCAACCAGCCCCACTATCCAGCCCCTACACATGCTGGTGGGTGCCACTCTCTGTCTAGCCTTGCCTGCCCCAGTCCTGGTTCTCATGCTTGTCAGCTGGGGTGGCAACCCAAGAGGGAGGTGCTCAGTCTTTCCCTACTGAGTCCACTCCCACTCCTGGATCCTGCACTCTCCAGATGGTTCTGCAGTTAAACAGAATTTGCGCCTCCTGCCAGCAGCTGATGCTGCAGCAAAGCCCAGCCAACCCACCCTCACTCTGACTTATGCATGAACCAGTAGGGACAGTCATCCCAGCCTGACTTTCTCCTGTCCCAACTCATATGAGTCCAACAGGTGTTGTAACCTTGCCTAGTCTGGTCTGTCCCCGTCCAAACTCACACTCTCAAGTGGGAGTTGTGGTCCAGCAGGGGAGCCTCATGCAGCGCCCCCTCTGGGTTCGCCCCTTCCCCACTGTGTCTCATGTGGTGATTGGATGAGCCTGACTGGGCCCATCCCAACCCCAGTTCCAGCTCATGCTGCTTGGGGCTACAGCCTAGCCAGCCCAGCTGGCCCCCAGTCCTGGCCCTCATATGAACTGGCTTGTGTTGTCACCCAACACTCCATTCTGGCATTTGGATTCACTAGTGGGTGATATGAACTGGCCCAGTCTAATTCATCCCTGATAGGCTCCAAATGTTTGCCAGTGGGCACCATTCCCTGGCTTGGTCTGGGCTGCTCCCTATCATGGTTCTTGCACTAACCTGCAGTGACTGTGTCCCGACACGGAAGTTCCCCAAAGCTAATCCATCACAACCTCTTCCAATGCCAGATCTCGCGCACACCACTGGGTCCATGGGCCAGCCCTACTTGGCCCACCTTCTGTCCTAGCAGGAACAGTGACCTTTCCTGACTGGACTTCACCCATTCCGGATCTTACTGTTGGGTGTTACAGTCCCTCCTGTCACAGTCCCTCCTGTCTTTGCCTTGGGACGCTCTAGCCTGGCCTGACCAGGCCAGCCCCCAGTCCCATCTCTTGCTGGTGGCTACTACAGCCTGGCCCTGCTCAGTCTGCTTATATCCCTGGCTCATGCAAACCATTAGATGTAACAGCGTAGTTTAGTATTACCTACATGCACTGCAGCCTGGTTTCTGCACTTGCTGGTGAGCTAAGGTTTAGTCAGCCCTACTTGGCCCACCCCTTCCAAAACCAACCCACACACTTGCCATCAGTTGGAGCTACCTTGCCCAGCTTGCCCGACCCCAGTCCTGGACCACATGCTCACCAGCAGGAGCTATGAACCACAAGAGGAATTTGCCAAGTTACCCTTACTCTGCCCCACTGCCAGATCCAGATCTTACACGTTGCAGCAGGTGCTAGGTCCTTGCCTAGCATAGCCAGGCCCTCCATCTTGGCCTTTGTATGGGCTGGTGAATGTTGCAGCCTGGCCTGCCTCACACCCTGTTTAGGATGCATGTAGGTGCTGCAGCCTGAACATGCCCAGACTATTCTTGGTCCCTGAACCCTTAAGTATTGGCAGGTTTCAAGGTTAGAGCTAGCTCAGCCCATCACCACCCCCAAACACTTGAGCTCACCAGCAGGACTTGTATTTCCATAGGGTTGGGCCTACATATTCCCCACAGAATCTCCCCCCAGACATGGTGCTCACATGTACTAGTTAGTGTCATGGCCCTGCTTAATGTGACCCGTTTCCTGTCCTGTTGCAACATTCAGTCAGGTACTAGGATCTAGTGCTGCTAGACAGGCACCACCCATGCTCTAGCTTTTGCGTAGCCTGGTGTGTGGTTGTCAGCCATGTTCCATGCTCAGGACTCTAATGTGGGTTGGTGCATGAGTCTGACCCTTACAGATCTTCTGGTCTCTCCCCTCTAAACCACCAGGTCTCAGTCACCTTGCTTAACTGCAAGAACAGTGGCCCTGTCATTGGGTGTCCCTCAGGATTCATTCCTCACCTACATGTACCATGGCCATATTCATGGATGTCCCTGGGCAGTAAGTCCACACCCCAAGACCCCAGAGCTTGTAGCTGTGCGATGAGTGGGGAGAGCCCAGTGCCAGTTTGCGCTCTGATGGGCCGCAAGCCCAGGATTTGCCCACCACTTGGTAGCGTTGCACAGAGAGCTAGGATTTCTAGCAGGGAGTCTGACCGGACATGGGTTCTCCCAGCCTCAAAGCCTGGGAGAATAAGGTACCCACACCTCTGAGCCGACTTACCTGGACTCCACCCACCAACGTGGCGGCAGTGGGCAGAGCCATGAGCCTGGGCACTCCCAGAGACCCGACAGGAAATTCTCAGACCTAGGGCCTGAACAAGCCCAGGATTTGCCTGTGGTGGACAGGGAGCTAGGAAGATATAGACCTTTTATTATGTTTTAGTGCCTTAGAAATGATAAAGATATTTTTCTATGATGATCATCTGTGGTTCAGTTTGGATATATTAGAGTGATGATGGGAGCTGAGAACTGAAGGATGAAGTAAAAAAAAAAAAAAGCAAACAACAGCAACTAGGTATTTTGTTTGAAAAAAATAAGGAGAATTAAAAATAATCTGGCTTCTACTGGGGAAGTAGTATTCATGTCAACAGGAGCGAGTTATATGACCCTAAATTTAGTGTGGATATGCCTTTGTTTCCATCTGTGAATAAATAATGGGGAAGGCACAAACAGGTGCTTTCTGCCCTCTGGTGGGAGGAAGAGCTGCTTGCAAAGGGACAGGACAGTGGAACTTAGTGATGCAGATTTGGTGGCTGGTACAGGACTTGCTGTTCAAGACTTAGGCTTTCGTCTGTTTGTTCTCCTGTTTTTCAGGAGAAATAAAATAATTCTAAGTCTTACATATTATATATTTCTAATAAGCATTTAAATGTACTTTAGCAAACAATCTTGAATTACCACACTCCATATTCTGAGTTTCAAATAATTCAAAGATGATTCAGGTATCAGACCTTACCCAGACTGACCTGCTTTTTCTGCTGTATTACTATAGGCCCCGGAGATCCCAACTTAATTATGGAGAAATTTCAACAGGCCTCATTTCTAGCTAGTCACTGAGACATTTGCAGGATTCCAAAGCACTGTTTTGATTCTATACCTCTTATTTGCCTTTTCCTGAAGCAGAAAAGTGGACTTCACTTAAACTTTAGCCCATAAGTTCGTTCTTTCAGTGTTGTCTCCTGTGCCTTCATTTGGGTGGCTTTTATATGTTGTCTAGTTTATGTAATTAATTGTAATTATCTAAAGTAACAGAAATGAATCCTTCAGATGGAAGAATTAGTAATTAAAGCAAACCCAGTTTCTATAGGCTTAGAACATCTCAAGAGATGGGACATGTTTTGGCCTTGTGAATTTTTCTAAGTTGAAAGGGAGCTTGTGTGTTTTGCTGAGAGTTATCAACGATGAGAATGCCAAGGGGGAAAAAGCAGATACAAAGGTACAGACCACACCATGAAGCAATTTCTCAGACTTATGAAAGAGTTTGGATGCCTTTTCAAATTTGACCATTAAAAAGTTTTAGGCAGTGATAGCAAATCACCAAGTATATCAAAATATGAATCAGTTAATAAAAATGGTAAAACGGGAGACCTCCAGGCTCATTTACAGATTCACTAGATTCAAATTCAGTTAGTCTCAGGTACTATCTGGACATCTTTAGTTTCATCAAACTCTACATGACTTTGATTCCCGCCAATGTTAGAGAACCATTGATGGTAGTTTCCTAGTTTCTTCTTCTAGTCTCCTGAGTGTTCGTTATTCCCTGACTTCTCAGCTGCCCTTTTAACATTCAAACTTTATTTTTTCAAGTTCTAGGTAGCAACATTACCATGAAATAAATTTACCTGATTTTGATGGTGTGAGAGAAATAGGAGTAAAATATTACAGAAAATAGGGAATTTCACATAGAAACTGTGTCTACATAGTTTTAATGTGAAATGTGGGCTTAACAATGGGTAGTAAACAATGTTTTAAAAACACATAAGCCTGTTATTTCAAACCAATACTGTTTTCTATGATTTGGCTTTTACTGAAGTCACATTTCTTCTAAATTATTTAATGTTTTATGTTTCTGACTTGCCTTCAAGGTATGTATATAAGGACCTACCTCCAAAAAGATACTTATGCAACAGCATTATATCTCAATGGGAAATAAGTGACAAGCTTGGCAATTGTGATCTTCAGGAATCTAATTCTATAGAGTATCTAAAAATCCAAGACAAGTTGGAAAAGCAACGAGAACATCAAGGAATTTATCAGGGAAGGAATGATTACATTTGAAAAAATGTCCATTTTCAATCAGCACACTTACTTATCTCAATATCCACGATGTCATTCTACTGAGAAGCCCTATAAATGTAAGGAATGTGGGAAAGCCTTTAGACGAGCTTCACACCTAACTCAACATCAGAGTATTCATACTGGGGAAAAGCCCTATGAATGCAAGCAATGTGGAAAGGCCTTTAGTCGTGACTCACAGCTCAGTCTTCATCAAAGACTTCATACTGGTGAGAAACCCTATGCATGCAAAGAATGTGGGAAGGCCTTTACTCAAAGCTCGCAACTTATTTTACACCACAGAATTCATACTGGTGAAAAACCATATAAATGTGAAGAATGTGGGAAAGCCTTTATTCGCAGTTCACAACTCACTCGACATCAGAAAGTCCATACTGGTGAGAAACCTTACGAATGTAAAGAATGTGGAAAGGCCTTTACTCAGAACTCACAACTAACTTTGCACCAGAGACTTCATACTGGTGAGAAGCTGTATGAATGTAAAGAATGTAGAAAGGTCTTCACTCAGCTCTCGCAACTTATTCTGCATAAGAGGATTCATACTGGTGAGAAACCCTATGAATGCAAGGAATGTGGGAAAGCTTTTATTTGTGGCTCACAGCTCTCTCAACATCAGAAAATTCATAATGGGGAAAAGCCATATGAATGTAAGGAATGTGGAAAGGCCTTTATCCGGGGCTCACTCCTTATGCAACATCAAAGGATTCACACTGGAGAAAAACCCTACAAATGTGAAGAATGTGGGAAAGCCTTTATCCGTGGCTCACAACTTACTCAACACCAGAGAATTCATACCAATGAAAAGCCATATGAGTGTAAGGAATGTGGGAAGACCTTCAGTCATGGCTCACAGCTTACTCAACATCAGAGAATTCACACTGGTGAGAAACCCTACAAATGTGAAGAATGTGGGAAAGCTTTTAACCGTGGCTCACTCCTTACTCGACATCAAAGGATTCATACTGGTGAGAAACCCTATGAGTGTAAAGAATGTGGAAAAAACTTTAGTCGTGGGTCAGAACTTACTCAACATGAGAGAATTCACACTGGTGAGAAACCCTATGAATGTAAGGAATGTGGGAAGTCTTTTATTCGTGGCTCACAGCTTACTCAGCATCAAAGAATTCATACTGGTGAAAAACCATACGAGTGTAAAGAATGTAGAATGGCCTTTACTCAAAGTTCACACCTTTCCCAACATCAAAGACTTCATACTGGTGAGAAACCGTATGTATGCAGTGAATGTGGAAAGGCATTTGCTCGTGGTTTACTACTTATACAACATCAAAGAATTCATACTGGTGAGAAACCATATCAGTGTAAGGAATGCGGGAAGGCCTTTATTCGTGGTTCTCAGCTTACTCAACATCAGCGAATTCATACTGGAGAAAAACCATATGAGTGCAAGGAATGTGGGAAGGCCTTCAGTCATGGCTCTCAACTTACTTTACATCAGAGAATCCATACTGGTGAGAAACCCTATGAATGCAAAGAATGTAGAAAGGCTTTTACCCAGAGTTCACATCTTTCCCGACATCAGAGGATACATACTGGTGAAAAACCATACCAATGTAAGGAGTGTGGGAAGTCCTTTACTCGTGGCTCACAATTAACTCAACACCAGAGAATTCACATCAGTGAAAAATCCTTTGAATATAAGGAATGTGGAATAGAATTTAATCATGGTGCACAAGTCTACATATGAATTATCTGATTCTTTGTTCACATTTTGTTCTTGTCATCCACTGAAAGCAAAGACTTCCTACAGATGTGAATATGGGCATGGGGCACATGTGAGAATTTTGATGGTATAATGAAAATATTAACTTAATTCAGATAGAAAAGCCTGTTGTTACTGGAAACCTACTACACTTTAGCAGATTTATAAAATAGAGAATTGCTAATGTAGTAAACACAGGAAGGCCTCTGGCCACAGCACAGGTCTTTTCCAAGACTATCTTGGCTCTGAGAATTCTGCTTTGATTTAACCGACTGTAAGCAGACCTAAGAATAAACAGCATCTTTCTCACTGTTCGTGGAAGTATTGTGTCTTATTATTTATAAGAACTCTTAGAATAGTGCATTGAAAGACTATCACAATCATGTATCAAAGCTATCATTTCTGTATTAGGAGGGTACACACTCAGAAAATATTTCATTAAATGTTTATCCCAGATTTGATTGTAGTGTACTGTGTGTTGTCATGAATATGAGAAAGCTTTAGTCAAATCTGATCCCTTATGTTGTCAGGAAATTCATACAGAACAAAAGCCCTATGTGTAAGTGGATTATTAAGCAGAACTGCTAAGGAAAAAATATATATATAAATGATATGTAACCTGTCAGAAAACCCCCAAATTTGTATTTTCCAACATCATTAACCACAATTCAATATTGTTTTGAATTGAAATTTTTAGCAAACATAGATATAGGAAGGACAGCATTATAGTACCAAAGCATGCACTGATACTTTAAATGCTGGCCTCCCCTAATGAAAAGCCAGTTCCACTTGTGATCCAGCTTCCTGCTTATGTCCTGGAAAGAAAGACAGTAAAAGATGGCCCACATTCTTGGGCCCCTGACATCCATGTAGGAAATCAGCATGGAGCTTCTCTGACTTAGGCTTGCTCCAGAACTGGCTGTGTGGCCACTTAGTGAATGAGTGGATGCAGGATTTTTTTTCTCTGAGTGAGAGGAAGAGAGAGTGTGTGTGTGTGTGTGTGTTTGTTGCCAATAAAGGAATAAATAAATGTACTTTTAAACTAGCCCTGGAAAGTATTTTTTTAAATGAGAATTGTTTCTATGAAAAAAAATTAACAGGTGCAGATTTTGAATTACACAGAAAATCTAACATTACAGACTATTTTGTAATGAAAAATTATGAGTATTAAATTGTGAGTTTTTGTCAGAGACTACTCTTTCTCTACCCAATATTCAAATTTCCTTTTTTAGTAACAAATCCTAGAAGGAAAAACCATCAATTCATCCTAAAGGGCAACAAACTTTAGTGGCATTTCTTTGCATTAAGAGGACAGTGAAGATTCCCTTGCATCCAAAGCGTGGACATGTATGCCAGAGTTTCAACAGTGTCAGGCAGACATTGAAAATGGCATCTGGGAGTATAGATGGTGGAGAAGAACAGAATGGTTTTCTGGCTCTGAGGGCTTTTGAAAAAATGATACCAACTCTGATCAGTCTGCCCCCCTATATTTTGCTGATATAGTTTTAGTTCTCTTATTAACAACAAAATTTCTAAAGAACAACAGAAATGTGCCTAGGCCTGGAGTGTGTGGCCATAAGAATTCAAACATAATATTGATGTAAGGCCATACACAAGATGATCTATCCCTTTCAGCCTGAAAAAGGAAACATCCCTATTTCTACTGGCAAGGCATTTGGTGAGGCTGCATCCACTACCTTACATAATAAATGCGTGCCAACTGAGGCTGTAAGGTTGGAGGAAATGGTAGGAGGGTTTCAGGATCTACTTAGTGGTTTTTGCTGCTTTCTGTAATTTCCAAAATACATGACAGTAGAGCTAGCCAGGTCACTAATAAAAGGGAAAATGTAACTGCTTTGTTAAGAGGTGCTACCTTTGTTGCAGGTAATTAATCCTCTATCCCATGAACTGAGACCATTAAAATTTAAATGGCCGGCCTGCAGAAGAAATGATCCATTGCCTATCAAAGGAAGCTAATATGACAGAGTTCATGCTTTTCCCACCCATGTCTAGCCTACATTTAGGGAGGGCTCACTATAATCCAGCCATTCTGTTTGTTGTTTGGAATATATAAATTAACAATTATATTATTTAAGAGAAAATAATTAATGTGAAATACTAGGACAATAATACAGGGTAAAAGAGTAATTAAAGGAAAGTTGGTGGTGATGGGAATATGACTGTCCAGGTTGACACATGAAATGCAATGACTCAGAACATTAAGGAAGACATATCAAAGTCAAGATTTGTTCAAGTAAAGGAAAAAAATATATGGAGGCACAACCCTAAAACAAAAATTTCATGGTGTGTTTAAGGAGGATCAGGGGGCTGGCTCTATGATGTATCGGCTAAGGTAGTGTAGTGTAGTCATCACATATTGGCAGTTTTGACTTCAGCTTCTCTTATGAACCAGCTCCTGTTAATGGCCTGGGAATGCAGTGGAGGATGGCACAAGTGCTTGGGCCCCTGCACGGACACAGGAGACCCAGGGTGGCTCCTGTCTCAACTGGTCCTGACTTACCTGTTGCAGCCACATGGAGAGTGAGCCAGTGGGTGGAAAATCCACTCTAACTCTGCCTATCAAACATATATTTTTTAATTATTAAGAAAGCTATGAACAAGGAGGAGTTGCTAGTACAGGAAGTTAGATGCAAGAGAGGGCCATATCTTGAAAGGCCTAGTAAGCATTTTGGCTGTTCTTTTGAGGGAAATGGAAAGCCACTGGTGAGTTCTGAGCAGAAGACATGGTGTGCCAAGTAGCATCTGTGCTCTGCTCAGGCCCTGCGTGGGGCTCAGGGCTTCTGAGCAGCCCCTCCCACCGAAGCTGCGAGCATTTGGTTGCTGCTGCTCACTTGATGCTGCAGCTTGAGGTAGCTGCACCCAACCCAGTAAGCAACACAGAATGGCCCAAAACAGGAAGCCCAAGTCCTGCTCAAAGATCCAACTACTACATCACACAGCATCTATGGGTCCTGCCTCCTCCACCCACCGTTAGTGCACCCACCATTAGTGGAGCTCTGAATCTGAGTGGTGACTCGGAGTCTCAAAGTCCACTCAGCAGTTATTTTGCTCATCCAGATTCCGAGTCCCATTTCTTCCATGAACAATCTGGAAGCTGAGACATTCACTGGAAGCAGAGAGAGAATCTTAGAGCAAAGCTAGATGCCACCCTGATTCAAGGGAAATAGTTGGGGACAGGTGCAGGCTGTTCAGGCCTGAGTATTCGGAACAAGAGCTAGCTGGTGAGCAGGAAGCAAGGACAGACATCCAGAACTCTGGTAAGATCCTACCTGCAGTCTCTAGAAAATGTGTACGAAATAGGAAAGCCTTGTGGACTGTATTCCCCAAGTGTTTGTTCTTGAAAACTGAGAAACCCACCTTGTTTACTCTGGAGGGGTGAAACTCCAATCCACAGAGCACCTGAGCCACGTGAGAGGCAGCCCAGGAGACGTCACAGCAGCCAGGTGAATGACATTAGCGGCCCACCACTGAACTGGCTACCGTGCTCCGCTCAGCTGGTCATCCTTTCAACCATGTTTCTCGCCGTGATTACCAAGCTACAGTGAGGATACTTGTTAAATTGAGAAGGAAAGGAGTGGTGGATTTGATTTCTCTAGGTCTAAACCAAATTCCCTGGTGATTGATGTGATTCTCCAGCCAGGTGGACTCTAAAGTCAGAGAAAACCATTCAATTAAAAACCACTAACAAAGCCAACAGACAAAATCCACATCTGGTCACAAAAGAAGAACACCGATGGGCGGCATCTCCAGGACTAACTAGGATCACTGGGCTGGTTCCTCACCCATTTCACAAGCTCCATTTACGGGAGCTTCATCAAAGCCACTTTCCAAGCTACAGGCTCCCCTGCTCCAGCACACCACCTCCACCCCACGGAGGACGCAGCCCACGAGCGCCTGCAGTACCTTTCCCGGATGAACGGCGGATTTCCCATGCTGGAGGGTTACACACTGGGATCCCACAATGGTCCACTTATGTGTGCCCTCCTGAATCCCTAGGAACACTGCACCTTCACCTTGCATCACACCAGGACCTCAGCCTAAAGTGCTGTTGGGACACACAGGCAAGTAAGGAATCCACCCTGAATGACACAGGCAACCAGCCACAGGTAAAGCTTGTCCCTGTGACGTCAGCACTAAGCCTGAAGCAACACATGCACCTGGAGGGCCTGCTGTGGTTGCCAGGCAGCAACGAGTGCTCCATCTACCACGGTGAGATGAGCCGGCCCCGGCCTCGTCCTTGCAGCCTGGGTCACCTAGTGTCTCGGGATGTGAACTGACCACAGTGATTCCTCTGTGGAAACGGGATGGGGAGTTGGGGGAGCAGGTTGAGTGGCTGCTCTAAGGAAATCCCAAAAGAGGGCATATAGCCCACCCAGGAAGCAGAAACTGTTGAGTCTACAAGTGAAGGGGTCAAGTCACTGACCTTGGACCCAGGAGGTCTGAGAGGCACATTCAATCCCCAGGGACCCTGCCAGGTGGGCGAGACTGATTTGGGATCCCAGGAGAGCAGCCAGAGCCAGACTGGAACTCAGGGCCAAGATACAGTAATTCCCAGCCAGCCAGTGACGCTGGGTAGCAGAGCCAAGCAATCACGCTGTGGGAAGTGCGAACCATTCCTGGGACCAGCAGAGCTCTGCCGGAGGCCAGGTCCAGTTCTTGGGAACAATACAGAGAAGACAGAGAGGCCTCTCAGAGGAGCCCAAGCCCCCTCAGCTCGCATGGCTACCCGCCCCGTCCATTCACCCAGCCTTACAGTCCTGTTCCTCACGAAACTCGACAGGTGAGAAAACTCAGTGTGGGTTGAAGTCATGAATAGTGAAGCAGGACACTGGATATCAGTCCCACA